AATAATAATAATAATAATAATAATAATAATAATAATAATAATAATAATAATAATAATAATAATAATAATAATAATAATAATAATAATAATAATAATAATAATAATAATAATAATAATAATAATAATAATAATAATAATAATAATAATAATAATAATAATAATAATAATAATAATAATAATAATAATAATAATAATAATAATAATAATAATAATAATAGTAAGTTTAAAGCATCAGCCTTTGGAATCATTAATTCAAATATTTACTGAGTACATAATCACTGTGAGTACTGTCTGTTGTACTGAGCACCACACAGTGGGAATAAAACAGGCCCTTTCCCTATCTTTATGGACTTCACAGCTGCTCCAAGAAACTGGGCTCTTAGAACAAGTGTTCTGCTGTGCTACCTTAGATAAGGCACACAATGTGTCTGAATGTCACCTGCCTATCCATTCATATATAAATCCATCCTTTCATTCAGTCAATGTTTGCTAAGCTGCTACCATGCCAGTTACTAAGCTATGCCAGGGATATAACAGCTAATACAGGCAGTGAGCAAAGCAGGCATAAACTGTGCTTCAGAGCCTGAATATGCAATTCAAAAGGCTTCCAGGGACTCCAGAAATTGGGAGTTTAGCTGACAACGGGAGGTGGCTGATGATTTGCAATGGGATAGCCATGATGCCCTCACAGGGCACACTTTGTTTTCCATAAATGGACTTTGAGAACTTCACATGTTCAAGGCCTAGACTGGGAGCTAAGAAACATTGGCAAATGAGACAGAACCAGTCCCTGCCTTCAGGAATCTCAGGTCTTAGAGAAGAGAAGTAGAAGCAATGACAGGTGTCTTGTGCCTCCTTAGGACTCCTGCTCACTGGGCTTCTACGTCCCAACCCTAAAGTTGCAGATCTTTACTCCTGCCTTAGCAGTAGAGGGGAGCACACCCACCCCCTTTCCATTGCTAGAGAGTCTTTGTGGGGTCTCATACATGAACAGGAACCAGATCTTCTCTATGCTCAGACACCCAGAGATCCCAAAGGTCTCTAGAAAAAATAATGTCACCAATGCTGATGGGAACTCTATTCTCTGACTCACCTGGTTCTCTGGCCTCCCACTGGGACTTTCCAGAGGAGGTCAAGGCCTCACATGAGGGAAAGCCACACATGTGGATTTGAAGCAAGGGTTACAGGGACAGCGTGTCTTATGTTAAGAGCTCTTATCACACACAAGCACACACAGAATGTGCAGGCCTCTTGCTGTTACATAAGAGCTGTGCATGTGGCCTATAGGCTAGTCCAGTGCCATCCTAGCCACAGTTAGTCTGTAGTCTGCTTAGGCCGAGTGACTCCTGTGTTGTGACTCAGGGGCTGCAGAACTTGAAGGGAAGGTCTGGCCAAGGAAAACAAGAGCAGAAGCTAAAGGAAAAGGCTGGGTTAGGGGCAGAGAAGAAACGTTACAACACCATCTTTGCTCCTTTCTTGTCATTTCCTTTCTTGTTTTCTGTCTGCTTGTTACACAGCTTAATGTTCCCACTAGCTATTGATGAATGAATAATAATTAGATACCAAATTCAGTGCAAGACACTTTTATGGTAATGAGGAAATAGCAAGTTTGCAAAACAGAACCATTTTGGTAAGGACAATACCTTGAAATAATAACCATGAAATGTGACATGACAAATGGTTACAACCACTGGGGTGGGGGAAAAAGTCAAGGACAGCATAATAGTGTAACAGGAGTGTTGTTTCACAAAGAATGACAGAGTATGGTCTCTCTGACAAGCAGAGACTGGGAGAGTAAAGGAGTGAACCAGCCTGTTGGGGACATCTGGGACAGCAAAAGAAGAATGTCATAGGTAGCTGATATAGTAAGTGCAAAGGTCCTGAGGCAGAAACATGTGTCTTTCCATCAAGGCTGACTGATACCTGGACCCTGGGCACATGACTCACTAGAGAGGGCCTACAGTATGCATTTGCTTTTGTCCATTTGTTTGTTAAACAAATACTTTCTCAGTGAAAGATCAAAATCCCTGTCCTCAAAGAACCTACAGACTTCACAGACAGACTAGACCATGCAAGTGACTGTGATTAGAGTTGTGCTGGAGAGACATGGGAACAGAGCAGAGGACCAAACAGGATATAGAGTTAGGAAAGTCTTCCTGGAAGAGGTGATAAACTGGAAAAGGCTGAACGTAGAGAAATCTAGGTGGGGAAAGATTATGCAAGCATTTGGGGATGAGAAAGAGTTCAGAGAATCTGGCATTGGCTGAAGCAGAACTGGTACAGTGAAGTAAAAGTAAAAGTAGGAAGTATAAACAGGGTCAGGTCCCCAGGGCATAGATAATACAGGCTCCAGAAGAAACAGAAGAAACAAAGGAGGCAAGAATATGAAAGCACAGTGACCAGTCTGTAACCAGGACTAAAATCACCCTCTCACAAGATGGTGACCTAAATTTGGATTGGTGAAGTGAAAACGAAGAGCTGATAGAGTCAAGAGGTATTTGAAATGCAGAAAGATAGGATGTGAAGCTTCCTGGAGTTGAGTCCGAGGAGGAAAGGAAACAGTCAAGTCTCCAGTTTGGAAGACTGGTGAGCAGCACTGCTATCGACCCAGGGGGATGGTAGAGATGGAGAGGAGGGGAGTCAGAGGAGCTGGTGAGCTCAGATTGGAAGCTGCTGAGTTTGAGGGACCTCAGGTGTCTGTACTCAGGAGGAGAAGCTCAGAAGGATCTGGGGACTGGATATGAAGCTAAGGAGAGTCATCTAAGCTGGGACTCAGCCTGTGGGTAAATTTGAAATTGTGCTATAGTTTGAATCTGAGGTGGTCTTCACAGTCCCTTCTTTCCACAGTTTTTTCCCCAGCTGGGGGTGCTATCTGGATGCTGTGGATGCCCTCTAAGAAGTGGGGTGCAGTTGGCAGAAGTCCATCACTAGAGACAAACCATTCAAGGCCAGGTCTGAGCTCACTTGTCTTACTCTCTACTTCCTGGTCTTTCATGATGTGAATAGCCTCTGCTACATTCTTCCACTGCCATGGACTAAACTTTACTGTGTTCCAGGTCATCATGGACTGAAGCTCTCCATTCCAGTTGGTTTTATGTCAACTTGATACAGACTAGTGTTATCAGGGAAGAGGAGCTTTAATTGAGAAAATGCTTCTGTAATATTTGCTGGGAGAGGGAGAGACCATTGTGTTTAAGAGTGTAGACCCTGGTAAGTCAACTACACCCCAGGGGATGTCCACACATCCAACAATATTTGGGCAGTATAAATTAGCCTCAGAGGAAAAAGTAGATATTGGGTAGGGGACAATGGGGTTAGACCTTGGAAGACTTGGGGAAGGGACTGGATATGACCAAACTTTTAAAGTCTTTTTCCTACTTCTCTGCATCCTGTTGCCTAGGCTAGCCCACTAATTTAAGAACTTGGAGGGGAGGCTATACTGATTTTGTACAAAAGCCTTAGACATTTCTTTGCATTCTACAATTCAACATTTCTAAATATGTCAATAGAAATTGGCTAAACTTTGTGTGTTAAGAACAGTTAAGTTCTCAAACTCTCTTCCTTCATTCTCTCGTGCTACCTGGCACCAGGTGAATCAAGAGGAAATGCTCTAATGCAATTAGCTGGGAACAGACATTACACTGGACACCTACTGAGCAAACAAGCCTATTTGGTTTCTGTCTACTTTCCTTTGGGCATTTTTGCTTCCTTCTCATTAGTGTTTGCTCCGTGGGAATGAACATGGCATTGGCTTTGTAAGTTTATTGCAAGATTAGATGGGAGAAATAATGATTGCCAGGTCTTAGCAATGTCTGGCATAGCCAACCTTAAGTACATATTGCA